ACTGTACATTTTTAAAATTATTTTTAAAAATATTTCAATTTGTTTTTATTTGTTTATTTTTACATCTTCTGCTTGCATTTACATTTACAACAAACGTCACGTTATGAAAAATTTTAATTTGTCGACAATAAAACAGTAAATTAAGACTAAACGCAACAGTTTAGCGCATTGGCCTGAATTATTTGGATCATTTCACAAACCTGCAAGACAAATAAACAACTTTACACAAGATTTCCCATCAGAATCAGAATAGAAATGAACATTAAAACCTCAGAAACGTTCAGAAATATTAAAGTAAAGTTTATTTTTTTCCGTGCCAGACCTGCTGTGGAAGATTCTCCACTCCTCTAACGCTTCTCTACAAACCAGTGATAAAATATTCATATTTTTCTATCAGTTCCTTTTCACCCATTGATCCTGTAATAATTTCTGGCTTTGAGAATGAAACAGAAATTGAAATGAGCCGGGATAAAAAGCCGTGAAACGCTGCAGGCTTTATGTGGTAGCGTCTCCGAGCAGATTTTATGACTCTGGACAGAATTAAATTTCCTCTCCCACGAGGAGGCATCGAAGCCGAGAAGATTTGTGTCTGCTCTCTGCTTCATGCGTTATAAAACACACGTTTTTTGGCCTCCAGCAGGAGCTGAGGTTTTATACAGAGAAGCCACGTGGGTGAGAATTTTAACCTGCTCTCGTATTAGCGTGATTACGGTAGACGCGCTAATCCGGTAATTACAAGAAAGTTCTAGATGCACAATGTTCACGTAATATTATTTTATTATTTTTTAATACATTAAAAGAGATAATTATAACATTAAAAACAAAATCTTTAGTGTAAGTTTGCGAACTCATGAGGTGAAGCGGAGCTCCTGATTGGTCGGCTACTGTAACAGATATTATGACATCATCAGCAATTTGAATTTTGAATTCACATTCAAATATTCACCTCAATTAAAAAAAAAAAAATCAAATTTCTCATAGATGCAGATCACGATTGTACAGCTTTTTAAAATTTAGTATTTGGATAATTTTTTTTCAGATTTTCTCAGAACTTTTGTGTAAAACTATTTTAGGGGTGGAGCTTCATATGAGTTCACAAGTGATATGCAAATTATTAGACGGTGCTGATGTGGTGCCGAGAAACTTTTAGCCACAGACCCGGTGTGCTAGCTATCCAGCTACCTAACGTAGCTAATGCTAGTCATGAAGAGATATTGGTTGTCATGGTAACGCTGAAATACTGTACTTTCTGACAGGTTTGGGGTCGCTGTTAAATAAATAAGATAAATCATTGAGAAAACGAGGACGTAAATCGAGACTCTGACACTGACATCAGACTAATGTGGGCTAATTTACTAGCAGTTAGCTAACAGCTAGCTAAGCATATTAGGATATTAGTCATGGTTTCCTAATTTGCATAATCATGAATATTCATAAATCCTGCTAGGTGGAATGAGGTTGAGGATGTGGACAGGACGATTCCTCAATCACAAAACAATGTAATACTTTACTGAGACGGGTTTTATTTAAGTTAAGAAAAAAAGAGTTGTATTTATTGCAAAAATGTATTGAATAATAATAATAATAATAATAATAATAATGTCATGCAGAAAGAGATTTAATAATTACACCATTAACTTTTATATTAAAATCCACTGAAATAAGAGAATAAGGAACGAGATTTCGGTATTTTATCGCAGTAATGTAGTGTAAAGTCATTAACATGCGTAAATTTCCCACGTTTTTCTCCTCCGTCGCTCGCTGCAGCAGGACTTTATTATTATAATGAGGCTGTTCATCATTTATTATTGGTTCCTGCAGCAGTTTACAGCCAGACTTTTACAGCAGCCTTTAATTTACATCAGTTCATTACGCTCGGCCCGAACCACCCAGCAGAGCAGCGTGTGTGTGTGTGTGAGTGTGTGTGTGTGTGTGTGTGTGTGTGTGTGAACACTCGGAGCAGACACACGGCTGTTTTCTGTCTGTTTTGCTCTCGTGGCCTCATGGTTTAGTCTGAACAGGAATTTCATATTTTAAATTAAATAAGTATAAATAAAAACCACACATTTAGACACTAATATTAAATTAAATATATCTTATGGAAAATGTTCACTATACATCATTTTATACATTTTTAATTTTTAATGTTAATTGAGGAATAAAAAAGCTGTTTAAAATCTGGTGTTGAGGAAAAAATCCTGCCTTAATGCTTTAAATAAACCTCTTTAGTAAAAGCGCAGAAAACATTCCGAGCCAGAAATCTCCTGGAGTTTCAATCAATCAATCAATAAATAAATAAATAAATAAATAATAAAGCATTTCTAATAAACTAAGGAGTTTCTGTGGTTTAATAATAATAATAATAATAATAATAATAATATAAAGTGAGAACAAAATTTCAGGGCCAGAAATGGAAAGTAGTGGTTAAAAAAATAAATAAATATATAGAAAATAAATAATATAATAAATATACATATAAATAAATAATAAATGAATAAAAATAAAAATAATCAAAAAAGTAATAATAATAATAATAATAATAATAATAATAAGGAATGTAGTAGTTAAACCAAGAAATTTATAAAACA